AAAAATAAAGAAATGAAAACTTTAGGGTATACTAGGAATTGTGTATTAAAGTTATTCTCACCCAAGAAGGCCAGGTTTCTGTAGTTCTCTAACATCACTTTTCTATACAAATTCTGCTGTGCAGTGTCCAGGCATTGCCACTCCTCCAGAGAGAACTCTATGGCCACATCCGTAAATGTCAATGGCTCCTGAAAGACACCCACACACACACGCACATGCACACGCACATATGCACGCACGCACACACATTTACAAGTGTCCATGGGCAAAATTTATCACTTAAATTAAGGTTAAATGAGAGTAAAGCAAATTGATTCTGACTTATAGGAATAACTAAAATTATCCAACAATTTTTTTTTTTTTAAAGACGGGGTTTCACCATGTTGGTTGGTCTTGAACTCCCAACCTCAGGTGATCTGCCTGTCTTGGCCTCCAAAGTTCTGGGATTACAGGCGTGAGCCACCACACCAGGCCTATCCAACAATTTTTAACACAGAAATATTCTCTAATGTATTCTTTAACTCAGAGAGAAGAGAATGGTATAAGATAAACAACACCAGTGTATATATGATATATCTATGAATACTAAAGTATAAAACTAAAGTCATAAACACAAACATGTACATTTTTAATGCTATATTTGCATTACAAAGAATGAGTTGTTAATATTTCAGACAAAAAAGACATGTTGAGTTAGAGAGCACCTCTTAAGTTTTAATGCATAAAATCAAAACTGGAGATCTTATGCAGGTTTTTTTTTTCCCCCAGAAGATCTGAAATAAAGTTTGAGTTTCTGAATTTCTAACAAGCTCTCTAGTAATGCCAATGTGTTTGGCCTAAAAAGAATATTTCGTCAAACATCCAGTAAGTGGAAGAGCCTATGTTTTAACCAATTTTTCTGACCTGTAAGCAAACTACTTCATTTTCCAAAGACAGAGATCTACAAAGAAAACCTAAGAAAGAGATGCAGCTGGGAGATTAAATATGATAGTTTATGCACAGCTTTTCTTTAGCTATATAAAGATATCTAATAATGAGGAAAAAAAGTAACTCTATAATGAAATAAATATTTCAGAGAGCTCCTTAAGTAAATTTTAAAATCAACTGCACAAGGACAAAGTTTTACGATGGGCTCATGCACACAGAAGAACACAGCATCACTGCTGAGATATTGCTTCTTAAAAAGTAAGTTATAGGCCGGGCGTGGTGGCTCAAGCCTGTAATCCCAGCACTTTGGGAGGCCGAGGCGGGTGGATCACGAGGTCAAGAGATCGAGACCATCCTGGTCAACATGGTGAAACCCCGTCTCTACT